GTGGGTAACCTGGGGGGGGCTTTTCGGGCCAAAATTTTGTGGGATGTGCTGAGCATTTCACGCGGTCGCTGCCAGTCAGACAGCTGCATTCCACCCTGCGCGCGAATGCTGCGAGTCAGACAGGCGCATTCCGCATTTCACACGCCTGCTGCCCGTCAGGCGGTGACGGGCACGCATTTCGCTCGAAATGCTGCCCGTCTGCATCGCAAATCTGGGGGTTCACGCTTCTCATTCGAAAATTAGTCGCAACTCATTTCTAGTGGTAAACCAAATGCAAACCAACAGCAAACGTGTGTGAGGATCTGGTTCAGGAAAGATGATTCTATTGAATGATTCACCTGGGTACAAGGCGAGGCTATATATAGGCTCGACACAAAGGCAGTAACCCGGGTGTTACTAGAAGGTTCCGCGGATCGCGAAGCGTCCCGAACGGGTCCTTCCCGAATTCGGTAGAAGGCAATTCGGTGGCAACCGAAAAGCCTAGAATTCGGTGCACTCAACCTAGTTCGGTGCCTAAAACTATAATAATATAGTAAAAGCAACGAACCTAGGAAATCAAGCAAAATAAAGCAAAGCTAAGCTAGATAATGCATAGTAAAGCAGAATCAAGCTACTAAAGCGTAGCAATGACGTCGTACTCTCACAAAACGACTCTGATTGGCGATTGGGCATCTACACCTACCACGATGGGCTGATTTCTCACGTGTAGCAACCCACACATACCTTAATCTGGAGGCTCGCGGGGGTCATTTCTTGCCTCGGCTGCGGTGCTCGTTGCTTCGGCAGAGGCTTAGAAAAACTACGAGACATTGACACCAATCAGAATGGAGCGCATCCAAGCATCACGGAACCCTTCAAATGTGCTGCACTGTGTGAAATGCGCCTTTTTTTGTGTAACGCGTTGTTGGCAAACTGAGGCTCATGTGCAGAATATAATATAGACTGAAAATATACTTTATTGAAAAAAAAAAAAACGAAGGTACATTTCCGTCACCCGTTAATAAGTATAAAATAAAATCCAAGTCCAAAGCTCATTATTCGTATGGTTATATTACACTTTTGTATGCGAAGCAGTTGTTGACTTGATTTCCAAGTTCAAATATGGTTTTTGTGGATGAAGATACGCACAATCTTGTACATAATTTCCTTGTACAAAGTGGTAATTTAACTGTATTTGTAACTACGGTGGTAACACGAAGAGAGGTAGGAAATTGTATTTTCTCAGGTGTTACAGCCTGTCGCGTTCATTGAAACACGCGGAATAAAACACTGCTGCATTCTCATAACGTTTTTGCTCTAAACCTATCTCGGCCATACTGGAAACTACGCTACCATAGTAAATAGTGACGCATCCAATTGCACCGCATCTAAACAAGCGAACAGGACGCTGGCCTTGGTTCTCACTGTGCCTCGACACTGGACGTCCTTGGCACAGGACGCTGTGCGTCGCTGGCTCGTCCCCGACACACCCAGGGTGGTTGGCATGATGCGAGGTGCCAAAGTTGCGCATGGTTGGGTGACAACCCTGAAACACGACAACGCACCTGAACGTTGGCGTGCTTCCATTCGTCCAGGTGGGTCCAGGGTGGCTGGCATGACGTGACGCGGAGCACAAAAGTTCCTCGTGAAATGGCCCCACCAGTAACATGAAGGCAAAGTTGGAAATCGACCCCCAACCCATAGGAACCTATTTGATTTGCAGCTTTACCGTTTCAAGAGATAACATAGTGGTTACGGTGGGGTGCGATGCTGCTCGTTTTTGTGTGGTCAGCTTTGTTTTGTTAACGATGGTGCTTGGTGAATAGTCACGAAATGACGCCTTTCCCCTTCTAAGGGCATGTTACAATTTCGATTTTTTTGGGTGGTTCGGACAGTTACCACTCTGAAGCGTATTGAAAGCCACATGAACAAAGCGTTCTAAAAATGAACCACTTTGAACCGTTCTAACGGTCCGGTTCGTTTGGAAAAAAAAAAAAAAATCGAAAATGTAACGTGCCCTAACATTTCCCACACCACACCTCCATCGTGACGGGTTGTTGTGCTCGAGCAGTCATTTCTCACATTTGCGACTGAATACGTTTTTTTTTTTTTTTCACCACACCTCCTACCTTTTCCTGCGCGTACTGCACCCAAGAAGTCAACACGACCGCCATCGTTGACTGTTCTGCGCCTATCGGACCAAGGTAACCGTGTTATGTCTCAGATTTCGTATAGGCATATGCATATTTCTCGTGGTGTTTTTTGCAAGTTTCTCGAAGTAATGATTATGTGCCATTTTTAATCTAAATGTTGTAGTTGGTCGCCGATTTTCAGTTTACCCATTTGGGTGATGCGTGGAATGGTGTCCATGCTTTCCAATGTGTCTGGATTCATGTTTTTCGCGGTGTGTTTCCACTATAATGAAGTTGCCTGTCTGTTTTTCCAGGTGTTCTCCTGTTACAGCGCGTCTGTTTGCCACCCCACGATATGCACATGTATGGCATGTGCAGATCATTTATGTGCATTTGTTATATACTTTAGTGAGTTCTGTTGTTGGTTTTTGGAGCAATTTCAGTTTGCAATCAACATGACGAATCTGTTTACATTGTCAGCATGATCTGGTCCTTAGATGTAAAATTCTAACATTGTGCCGTGCTTTGCGGTTTTGTTGCAGGTGTGCGAGATGGTGTTGGAAGTGAAGACTATCCCATAGGGTGTTGTAGCTGTAGGTTCTGTGGAGATTGTGACTTCGTGATAAGCTTTGTGTCTGTTAATACTGTGTGCATTTTACCATATTGGAGGATTGTGCAAGTCCACACTTGGCAGAATGGAGGAACTCCATTATGGGTGTGATGTGAAGGACTGCATTGTGCGTTTTGCTACTCCTTTGGCTAAGGCATGGCATATGAGTTGAGGGCAGCACAAGTACAAACCAGCAGATCCAACACCCGAGTTGCGTGGAGAAAGCAGCCAGGGTGCTGTGGAGGCGCTCCAAGCTGCTGCAGATCGCATTCGCACGAATTCGAACAAACGTCTACGCACGGATAGGGTGGCAGAGTGCAGTCGCAGGGCCGAGAATGCTGACGCTGTCGAGATGAACGAGGATCAAACAGGGTATCATTTCTACCCAGGGGGAGATGCGTCCCTCGTCGACGTTGACTCTCGTGTGTATCGTTTCGTAAGGATAACTACTGGAGGTTCCGGACTCTCGAGGGTGGATATCAAGGAGTTGATATCAATCCTCATAAAGGTGTTGAGTAATCCGGGGCGTCTAAGGATCACGTCACTCGCCGCGTTTGACAGCTACGAGAAGTTACAACTAGCCGATGCTGATTCGCATCCCTTCGAACAGGTTAATCTCGCGAAGGAGGGGGATTTGCAGCCAGTGATCGTGTGGCGTCGATCTGTGCTGTCATGCGTGAGAAGCCTTTACGAGAACGTGGCAAAGGCTGCCGATTTCGTCGTGAAACCACCCAAGGATATTCCTAATGCAGCGCGGATTTACAAATTTCCCGAGATGGGGAGCTGGTGGCGAGAAGCTCTTAAAGAGTTGCCTCAAGGAGCATCTGTAGCTGCTGTGATTATCTACTCAGACGAGACGACACTCACCATCAATGGAGGCCTCAAGGGATGGCATGTGTACATTTCACTCGCCAACATCGCTGCGGGGAATCGTTGGAGGACACACGGCCATCGACTCGTCGCTTTGCTACCTGAAGATGACGACAGCTTCTTCTCGAAAGCGGATCAACCACGTCGACGGCTGGAAGTGTTCCAAGAGGCCCTTAATCTCATCATGGAGGAGTTGAAGGTTGGACAACACAAGTAAGTGTGCTGCTCGTGTAAATTTACTATCTCTTGTGATAATGTATATCCATGCTGTCCTCTCTGCGTACACGGATTTGTGACATTTGACTAACATTGAGGTCCTTGTTCGTTGTGTGCAGCGGCATGTTTCTCACAGACCCATACGGCATTCGTCGTAAGGTCTATCCGATGACATACTCGTATGTCGGTGATTACCCAGAGCAGTGCAAAGTTGTCGGAACCAAGTCGGGGATCAAGACAAAGTACCCTTGTCCTAGATGCCTAGTACCAAAGGAGGAGCTCAACAACATGGACTACCCATTGGTGTTTCGGAACAAGGAACGTCAAAAGGAGCTCGTTGGCGAGATGGAACGCGCGCACACGAAGGACGCACGAGATGATATCGAGCGAGACCACAGCACCCACTGCATCCATGTAAGCATCATACAGCTTGCGAGCATTGTTGTTTCTGTCCTTCTGTTGTGATGTTGGTACGAAAGTTTTGGTCGCAACCTAACAAAGCGCCCTGTGGGGTCAGCGATTTGCCGATAAGGATTTTGCTAATCCTTATCGGCAAATAACATCCGACTTCATGCACATGTCGCTCCTAGGTGTGTACAAGCACACCTTGGAAGGTCTCAAGTCGAAGCTCAGTACAGAGACACTGCACAAGCTCGATGCTTCGCTGCGCACCATCACCCAGTACAGCAGACAGTCGTTCTTCCGACTTCCGGCGCACACAGATGGTTATTTCAGCGGGCATGCCAGTTTCAAGGCTTTTTATCATCAAGCGAGCATGCAAGTGTTGCCAGTGCTCCTGCTCATGGCCAATGTCGATGCCAAGACAATCCGTGCAGTGGAGTTGTTTTGCCATGGCACTCCGAGGTGTGGCATCGGACATACCACGATGACGCTTCGTTGAAGAACCTGGACGAGATCACGCGCACGTGAGTAAACATAATTGTGATTGCTTGTCGTCAGCAAATGCAACTGTTTGCTTCCTAATATATAGTGTCATTAAGTCATGGTCTCTCAACTCACGTACCAACTACTCTTTGTTTATGCTCGTATACGTGCAGGTTGGTGCTGATGCTCATGAGCGAATTCAAAGGGGACCAGAAGTCGGAGTTCAACGTCCCCAAGATTCACAGGATGCTGCATGTCACCGATGACATCAAGCGTCGTGGCATTCTTATTCACTACTGCACTGATGTCTACGAGCATGTGCACGTTGCTGTGATGAAGCGCCCGTACCGAGCATCAAACAAGAGGAACGCCGAGGCATCGATCACTCGGCGTTGCCTCAATTCTGAGCTGGTCGAGAAGATGACCACGTCCGCTGAGGAGGAGAGTGATAGTCAAGCATGAAGTGTTGCCCTACAACAGGTATGCGATGGTGTTGATGCTGTTATCCTTGATGTATTCATCGTCATTGTACGTATAGTTGTACTTCTGTTGGTCGTCACGTTGTCGTCGTCGTTTATGCCGTTGTTCATCACGATGTCGTCATCGTCAATGTATTTGTCTTCGTTGTCGTCATAGTCTTCGTCGTTGTCATCATCGTCGTCGTCATTGTCGTCGTCGTTGTCGTCATTGTAGTAGTCGTTGTTGTTGTCGTTGGCGTCATCGTTGCCATCGCTATCGTTGTCGTCGTCGTCGTCGTCCTCGTCGTCCTCGTCGTCCTCGTCGTCCTAGCAGCTGTTGTCGTTGTCGTTATGGTCGTCGTTGTCGTTGTCGTCAGCGGCGGCATCGTCATTGTTGTTGTCGTCGTCGACGTCGCCGTCGTCGTCGCACTCATTGTCGTGCGTGATCGTCGTATCCTGGCTGTTGCTGTTGTTGTGGTCAGTGTCGTCGTAGTTGTTGTTGGCCTCGTCGTCGTCGTTATCGTCGTCATCGTCGACGTCGTTGTTTTGGTTGTCGTTGTTGCCATCGTCATCGTCGTCGTCGTCGTCATCCATCTTGGTGTATTTGCATTTCTTGTCATTGACAATTACCTTTTTTATGTCGTCTGATTTACACATATTCTAATGGTTGACGCTGACCGTGTTTGTGATGATGTGTCCTCCATCATGCTTATTCATTACACCTACTATTGCATGAGCAGGCAATCGAGAGGGGACGTGCAACAGTGACTGGAGCGTCATCACGGATAGTGCTGAGAGACCCAAGCGACAAAAACTTAAAGGCGTATAAGTCGGGCGTCCCGGGCGATTTCCATTGGCTGGAAGGCAGCATCAAGGGATATCTTCAACAGGAGCATCCGGACAGGCGTACGAAGGTGCACTACCATCACGTGATCGAGCTGCACGGCGGTGTCGCTGTGCCACCTGACGACGATTTCACGAGATATAGCAGATACCCACAGTATGCTCGCGCCACTCCAATGTTCTACGGGAAGCCCTGGTTTTCTGATGTCGACGTTGAGGGTAAGGACGACAACGATGTGAAGCAGGTTTGGCTCGTCAAACTATTTTGCATCTTCACGTTTCGGCGGACAGTGCAAACTGTGGGCGATGACGGCAACGCTACCGAGGAGCAAATTTCGGAGGAGCTTGCATTCTGTCGTTACTATGCCACTACAACACAATCTGCAACTACTGACATGAAGATGCTGAAGTGGTGGCCATCTAGCCGGGATTACGGGGTGGTGCTGGTAGAGAGCATTCTGCGTGTGATTCATGTTCTGCCCAAAACAGCTGATCCGACTCATCCCAATGCCAAGTTTGTGTGGAACCATTTCAGATGGTAGTGTGTTTCGGGTGTAGGTTCTATAATTAATATATAAAGCAGTACATCACTGGTTGTCTAGCACTTGTACACTGTACTATAATTTATATGCTGATTGTGAAATTGCTGATTTTAGTAAGTGGCATGCCTCATTGTAACTAAGTCAGAGACAAAAACTTAGTGAAATTAATGGTGCACGGTATAGGGAGAACGGCGTGATACCTGCTGTCTAAAAAACTTCGTTGGGGGCACGGGCGACAGCTCATCAGATATTCCAGCTTGAACAACTAGGCCAACAACAGACCTTGTTGTTGTTGTTGTTTTTTTTTTTTTTTTTTTTTTTTTTTTTTTTCCATCTGTAATCTACCAGGAAGGTAAGAACAGTGAACACGATTTTTTTTTTTTTTTTTTTCGGGTTGGTCACGGTTTCTTTGTTGGTGTAGCAGCTCCATGATCCGAGAGTAGTTATGTATCTTCTCTATCTATCAGCACTTAGTGAAGAAAACACCTTGCAGTGGTTCAATCGATGCGCTTGACTTTGTGGCGATGCAAAAGGAGCACTTGTTAGAAACTGCCTTCCCACTGTCTCAATGGGGACAAACACTTCGATCCGAAATTTCAATTGCACAGCTGTCGTAACACAGTGAGTACTCTAGCGGGGCATCAACAACCCAACTTGCACTCCGCGTTGTCGACGCCTTTGGGGCAGCCACGAACCTAGCCTTGGGGAGTTCAGTCCACAAATTATTTGCCCGGGACGGGCGTATGTCTGCACTAGCAACGGTTTGAGCGACTGATTTAGTGTGGTGGTGTACACCTCGCCTCAAATCCTCATTTTTTAATGCTCACTGTATCGAGGCGACAAACACTGCCAACCTCAATGTCGTGCGCAGGTGTCGCTAAACAATGCTCCTTCCAGCGAGGCAACACCATGTGGTCAAAGTGCCGTGTACAGCAGAACATTCGTTGTCGTGCGCTACTGTGCAGTGCTGTACACAGCACTGCATCCTCTCTGCGCTGTCGTGCGCTTTAAAGAAGCCACGTACGTGACGAGCCCAACCTCCCCCCTGATCCACTCTGTGTACCCTCCTCTGTATCCCCCAACCATCTTCCCCTTGCACACTCACTCCCCTCCCTCCCTTTCCCACTCATCTCCTTAGCCGTGGTTGCTGCTGCTTGAGCGTCGTCACTGCAATTTAGAAATTCAAATTTCGAGTTTTGAACTTCTCTTCCTCCGCCCTGTTCGACCTTACCCACTATCGCCCCATGCCGAGCCTACATAATCACGCCCCACTGTATGTGGTTCGGTAGCTGTGCACTTCGAGCGAATGGCGGTGCGCTACTTCCTCCTATATACCCTTTCTTTATAAGCTGGCGAACCGCTTCCGCTTCCTTTCGTTATTGTCATGGCCCCTGTCTGTATATAAAGGTACATCTTGCGTATAGCTGGCTACACGTTTTTGTAGCCTTATATTGTTTCTCACTAACGATGGCGCGCGGCAATCCTTAAGGGCTAGTCCCTCCCTCTATGATGCATTTGCAGACTAGACAACTGTCTTCCCGCGCCAGCAAGGAAAACCACAAGTACATCTCCAGCAACGGCGACTTGGGTACATAGTCTCTGTTGTCGCCGCGTTCACTTTATTATCAATTTGTAAGTGATTATCCTGTCAATTAATCCCTATTTTTCCTTTGTTCACAGTTGAAGCTGACGATAAAACCGACACTGCTACGCCCGACCATTGTCATACCGGACAACGGACACATCAAGCTTGACGGAGGTTGAGTGTCGTGTCAGGCCCTGGAACACTGGGTGCGGGGGGGAAGGGAGCTGCACCACAGGCGGCGGCGAAATCTGCCCAGGCTTCTCCCGCCGAAGCTGCTCGCGGAGGTATACCTGAAGGCGTTGGTGACCGTGCTCCTCGTGCCGCAGCGACTGTGGCTGCAAATGTTGATGCAGCCGTCGCTACGGATGAAGATGGTGATGCTGCGGGTGAGTCATTGTTTGTATTTCGTACCAAGCTGCACCCGCGATTTCATGTCATTAATCATTTTCCTTCTGGAATATGCAAAGCTGGAGATAGCCCGATGGAGTCGGCGATGACCCGCGCGTGTGGAAAGGCCTATGCCACTGAGGCTGTGCGTTTTCGCGAGGAGGGAAGGCAGCAGTTCGAGGTGAATGATGAGCTTCAACTCAAGGTTGCCGACCAAGAAAAACAAGTCGAGGAACTTAAAGCTGAGCTTCACAGCCGGGAAACAGACCTGAAGGATGCGATGGCGCTGTTGAAGCATCTGGCCGAGAAGCTCGCTGAAGATCAGCTTGGAAAACTGAATTGGCGGGTAAGCTACCATACTGTTTGATTTACAAAAATCATCAACGCACAGTCACTTACAGTTTTTTTTCTTTGCTTCAGGCCCACATCAAGGAGGCATGCAACAATTTCCTTTTCAAGCAGAAGTCGTTGAACCTGCCACCCGAGCCTGAACAGATGCTCGCAGCTTTGATCAGTAAGTGCATATCACATGGCATGTCATCTCTTGCTGTACTCAGACTAACTCATTATAACACATGTGCAGGGAAAGCCGGTCACAGCGTGGCCTCTTCAGAAGGCTTGAAGCTCGCTCTACTGTTGAAGTCAAATGGCCTTTTGAAGCACGCGTGTGTCCGCTTCAATGACAGGATCGGTAAAATTTACCGATCCTGTCACCTGCAAGCTTCGAGCAACGAACCGAGCATTTTTTTGAAGAAATAGCGGAATGTTAAGGGCGAGATTGTGTATGTGGTGTCGTTTGACTTACCCCAACTTTGTGCAGATTATGTGGAGCGCTACGCATCGCGTAAGTTGTTAAATGGAAGTTAACGTTTTTTAAAACGTGGCATATTTCAACTCTGATGTCGCACTTGCAGTGTTGTTGGGCATCCCCTGGCGTGTCGACAAGAAGGGGAAGCCGTTTTCCAGCCCTGTGTTTGTGAAGTGCTCGAGGCTGTGGGATTCGAGTGGCGACATGCCTGTGGGTTTGTTTCCAGTTCAGCTGCTTGTCATCCTTGCACCGGTAAGCTCAAACAATTTCAAGCTTTGGTTTTTAAACCATGTGTATCTCACACTGAATGTTTGCTTCTCTTGCTGGTGAGGTACAAGTTCCGCCATCCCAGCGCCACGAGGTCTCAGTTGGATCGGTCTGGAGATCCTGGTGCCCTTGCCTAGCAGGCACGTCTACTGCAGCGCTGGATCAACAGCAGTGATGTCACTCGAAAGGACGGCTGCCTCGGGATTGACAAGCTGTGCATTGTTGGCTGGAAAGAGATTTTAGAGGATAAGCTGGCGGCAGACGAGTACAGTGATGAGGGTCTGGATCTGACGAGAAACATTGATTTGCAGGAGTAGAATTATGATGAGGATGAGGAGCAGCCAGTGTTTTTACGGTAGTTTAGTGATCTTGTATGGTAGCGGGATATGTAGATAAGGTGTAGATTATCTGTATGCATTATGCACTTTGAACAAAAATCCTCATTTATTGTGTTTTTCACGCGCCTGATACACTGTAGCATCTGCATTTTAGGAAATTTTGTTTCTGCATGTCATTCCGTAACATTTGTTTTTTTTACGTGCACTAAGTGTTTGTGTTACTGCCTTATTAAAACAAAAGTCTGCGCCATTCGTTATGACCACTCCTCGTTAGCATCACAAAGTCATTTCGAGGTATAGTATACACGCAATACGTATTGAGCTGACGTGTCAATCAATTAGCAGGGGTATAGGCGATCCCGCGGTTGGCGCTCCGGTTCTCACCCTAAACTCGTTCAAAGCCAGTGGACGACTACGATACTGTTTCCGATGGACGGCTAATCTACATTATTCGCAGTGAACGGTAGCGTGGGGAAAGGAGGCAGCTGGGTGTGCGTGGAAGGCGATTGAGACAAGGGTACGAGTTTGTGGCATGTTAGTAGGGCATGTCCAGTGTGTGTTGTTTTTTTGTAGGACACGTTGACTGGTGGGGTCAGTTTCTTGATTGAGAGCGGCAGCTTACAAGCGCCCTACTATGCGACAAGATGTGGCCCCTGTTCGTGTCTGTGCACATTGCCACGAGGCTGTGGATTTGTAAGGAATTTTCTCTGCATTCCTTATCGCGACCTGCAACATCGCGTACGGTAGCAGCGGTTGTTCGCCCGAAACTGCTAACGGGGCTTCGCCAACTTCGCGCGCACTGTTTTGCCAAACCATGCACCGCG